TTCGTTGTTTTCAAGAGGCCTCTGTTCAGATTGGAAAGGTAAAGCTAGGCTAGACATTCAATTATTATGGTCTAAGCTGAGGGGCCCACCAAAATGTGACAGGGGCTATGTGTGCTAACTGCCACATAGCAAATGACGGCCACGTTGGCAGCTTAAAACAACACACATTTGTTATTTTATAGTTTTCGTGGGTTAGGAGTCTGGGCTCAGCTTAGCTGACTCCTCTGTGGCATCTCACAAGCCTGCAGTCAAGGTGCTGGCCTGGCCGTGTTTCTTAGTGGAGCCCAGGATCCGTTTCCTTGCTGTGAGCTGGGGGCGACTCTTGGCTCCTAGAGGCTCCTGCAGCTCCCTGCCGAGGGCCTTCTCCATAAGCAAATCGGAACACGGCAGCTTTCTTCCTGAGAGCCAGCATGAGACTCTCTGACCCCAGTCTGCTAAGAAGAAGTGTTATGTAACTGTCATCAGGTAGTGACACACATCACCTTTGCCTAGAAGCAAGCTGCAAGTCCTTCCCACCGGCAACGGGAGATTATACAAGCCTGTGACTCACTGGAAGAGAGGTGTGTGTGTGTGTGTGTGGTGTCACTGGAACGTGTATTTGCCACGGGAATTTAGGCAAAAAGAGAAGTCAGAGTGAAGTGGAATCCTCAGGGGAGGCTTTATGGAGGGACTTATGCAAGAGCTTGAAGGACGAGTAGAACTGAGACCAGCAAAGAGGAAAAGACGTGGGCCGTCTAGGATCCAAGGACGATACACTAGCAGAGATTTGAAGGTGGGGTTCTCACTTAAGTTAATGCCAACAATAAACCTAAGGGAAACCTGATGCCTTTGCCTTTCACAAAGGGTAGGAGGAACTTTTTTTTCCCCCTTTAACCAAAAGAAAGCTGGGTAGTGAAGAGTGTTCTGGCCGCGGTGTGAGAACATTTGGGTTTGTGGTTCAGTTCTGCTATAAACCAGCAGGGCGACTGGGCCCTGCTGGGGAGCGGCGCCTAGTTTCCATTGGGCACTACTATTCACGTTGCTATCATGAGGGCCGCACATGCTCTCGGGTCAGAAGAGCTCTGCAAGTCGCCTGGGTCCCCTTCCCGAAGGCAGCCTAGGCGAGTTCCAGGAACCCACTCCACAGAAGCCCCCCACCCTCTGCTCTGGGAAGCCTCTTTCTGTCTCCTTCCTTTTTAAGTCTCCTGACCGGGCTGGAGGGGGCCCTATTCCAGGTCTGGGACTTGGCACCCTCTCACTTTGTTACCCGCTCTACCTTGGTGCGCCAACACTCACCGATCCACGCTCGGGCCTGACCCCTTCCCCGGCGCCAGGTTCACTCGTCCAACCGATTACTCACCCACCCTCCCCTGGATCTGCCCCAAGCCCTCAAATCCATACCCGGAACTGAACTCATTGTCCTCCCGCGAGCCTCTTCCTCTTCCGTCTGGTCTTGGGCAATCACACCACCAAGCCAGGGCCCCAGGGCCGTTCTCTCCTGCCCCGCCCTCACACCCAAGGGCAGCCAAGAGCCCTCCGCCCTGGGAGGCCCCTCCCCTCGCCCCTGCCCAAGCCCTAATCTCGTCAATTCTCGCGGGAGTCACAGCACCAACTGCTAGGGTGATGCTCTCTCCCTGTGTTCTCCATGCTTCCTGCAGAATGGACTTTACGAAGTCCAGAGTTAGTAAGATGTCTTCTCTGCTTAAAAGCATTCAGAGGCCCCGTAAATACTTGGGAGTGAAATTCACACTCTTAGACACGATATTCAATGCCCGAGTTCCTCCCGTATCTGATTCTTGCCCCCCTCCCCTGTCCCCTCTCCTCTGCCCCAGTCCTACTGAACTGCCCCGCGGCTCCCGCGCTGTTCCCTGTTCTTTCCAATCTCTGGGTTTGAACGCACTGTTCCCCTGGTCAGAAGTGCCCTTCCGCGCCATCCTTCTCTGCCTCGCTGACCCGTCTTAGCCGCGATTACTCAGTCCAGCTGCTCGGTGTGGAAGGCCGCGCTCCTACGGGCACTCTTGCCAGCTGGTGCAGGTCTCTAGAACAGCTCCCGTTAACTCCGGAGACCCAAGGCCTGCGTTGTACTTTTTTCTTTAGCTGTCTCTCTTGCTAGAAGGGAGTTCTTGAGAGCAGTAACGGTGTCTTAGTTTATTTTGATGCCCTGATCACCTTTTCTTCCAATCTCATCCTTTCTATGTATGTCTTTATCTTTTGAATAGTCAACACATTCATCTAAAAATTCAGAAGTTCCCAAAAAACTATATAATGAAAAGTCTCCCTCCAAGCCCCTGTCCCCACCCCAGCTGCCCAGTCCCCCGCCCCAGAGGCAATCGATATTAGCAGTTTCTGGTGAATACTTCTAGAGATATAAATACTTGCCCAGATAAAAACATACCTATAGTTCCCCTTGTATACCCAAATGGTATCATGTTCTACTGACTGTGTTGTACCTTGTTTCCATTTACATACTGTATCCATGAGATCATTTCACTACCTAAAGAATTCCTTATTCTTTATTTACCGTTTTCAGTTTTCCATTGTGGTTGTATCCTAAGTGAACACATGAGCATTAGGTTATTTCTAGTCTTTTGCAAATACAGATAATACTGCAATGACCATCCTCACAAAAATGTCACTTCACACATGTAGACGTCTGACAGCAGAATGAATTCCTAGAAGCGGGGCTGCCAGATCAAGGCCTATGTGCATTTGTGAGTTTCACGGTGTCATATTGCCCATCATGGAGTTCCTAGATACCATCTTATTTATCTCTGTAGCCTTTGCCACTCTTACAGAGTCTGGAACAGAACAGGCAGTCAGTACATTTTACGTCAAATAAACAAATGAAAAAAAAGCTCTTTTCAGTGGAAGCTCTCTTTTCCCTTTCTCTGATGCCTTTAGTGGATACATTCCTTCTCATCCACATGTCAGTTCAAATCAAATGCCATAATTATTGTAGAGAAAAATTCTTATTCCAACTTGTATTAATTTCCCTATTTGTGTAACTATTTTGAGACCCTTCTTCATTAGCTTGGTTATAAAATAAGGTCATACTAACTTTTATGTTCTAATAACTGAATCCTTATCCCACAGTTTTGCGATGTCTTAATTATTCTACTGTTTCCCTCGCCCATATTCTGAACAATTATTGGAAACCTGTACACAGTCCACAAATTCTTACAGGGGGTTGCCTGTTGCTTTTTTAAAAATCTTTTTTAATGTTTACTTATTTTTGAGGGAGGGAGGGAGAGAGAGAGAGAGCGAGCTTGTCGGAGGGAGCATGAGCGGGGGAGGAGGAGGGGCAGAGAGAGAGGGAGAACAGAACCCAAAGCAGGCTGAGGCTCTGCACTATCAGTACAGACCCGACACGGGGCTCAAACCCACGAATCAGAAGATCATGACCTGAGCCAAATTTGGACACTTAACTGACTGAGCCACCCAGGCACCCATCTATATTGCTTTTATGAGTCATCAGACCTATCTCTGCAAGTTAACTTTTACTGTGCTGTGTTTTGTTTTGTTTTGTTTTTTAATTTTTTGGGGCGCCTGGGTGGCTTAGTTACGCGTACGACTTCAGCTCAGGTCATGATCTTGCAGTCTGTGAGTTCCAGCCCCGCATCTGACAGCATGAGAGCACAGAGCCTGGAGCCTGCTTCGGATTCTGTGTCTCCCTCTCTCTCTGCTCCTTCCCCACTTATGCTCTGTCTCAAAAATGAATAAACGTTAAAAAATTTTTTTAAAAATTTTTTTACATTTTATTTATTTAATGCTTTATTTATTTTTGAGAGAGAGACAGACAGCATGAGCAGGGGAGGGTCAGAGAGAGAGGGAGATACAGAATCCGAAAGAGGCTCCAGGCTCTGAGCTAGCTGTCAACACAGAGCCCAACACGAGGCTCAAACCCACAAACTGTGAGATCATGAGCTGAACCGAAGTCAGATGCTTATCCGACTGAGCCACCCAGGTGCCCCTACATTTACTTAATTTTGAGAGACAGAACATGAGCAGGAGAGGCTCAGAGAGCAAGGGAGACATAGACCTGACACAGACTCTGGGCTCTGTCAGTCCAAAGCCTGATGGGTGGCTTGCACTCACAAATCATGAGATCACGACCTGAGCCAATTGGAGGCATAGCCGACTGAGCCACCCAGGCGCCCCTTACTGTGTTTTTTTTTTTTAAAAAACTATGCATCCCTGTTGCTTCTCTTGGATTTTTTTTTTTTTTTTTAGTTTATTCATTTATTTTTGAGAGAGAAGGAGGGAGGGAGAGAGAAGGAGTGGGAGAGGAGCAGAGAGAGAAGAGAAGGAAGAGAATCCCAAGCAGGTTCGACATGTCAGCACGGAGCCTGACGCCGGGCGGGATCCCACCAACCATGAGATCATGACCTGAGCTGAAATCAAGAGTCAGACACCCAACTGCCTGAGGCCCCCAGGTGCCCCTCTCCTGCATTGTTCATTAGCTGTGTGGCCTCTCTATGCCTGCTTATTCATTAATAAAATAGGGCACGTTACACGGTTGTGAAGATTAAATGAGATTATAGATGTAAAGTGCTTAGAAATGTCTCACACACAGTAATGCTGAGAGAGGCCTTCAGGAGTCTGTCATGCTGGGTATGCCAAAAATGCAAGACTCTGCTCTTTACCAGGGCCATTTCTCAGAGTTGTATTTATAATGAGCAACTGTAAGGAATGAAGTAATGTCTCTCTCCAGCACAGAGAACAGGTTCGCTCACTGCTTCCTATAAAATGACAAGTTCCCCAAGCTCAGTGTTCCTCAACTGTGGTGTAAATCCACCAAAGAAATGAACATCTGAGCCATTCGTGTCATCCCGGTTAAGACTTGGGGGAAGAGGAATCGACACTAACGGGCTGAAGCTCATGTTATTTCCTGTGTCATAATAGTCCTTTGTCTCCCACCCAGGAATTCTGTGTCTTCTGTCAGCATCCACGAAACAGTAACAGACTAACTTCTTAGCCCATCAGTACCGTAACATCAAATAGGAGTCTTGAGTGCTAATTGCTTAAGTTAGTTATTTTTATTATTTTTGCTCTTGCTCCTCTTACTTGCCTTTGCCAGGCATTCTGCAGACTGAGTTTGCGTTTGGGTCGTTTGCCCAAAAACAACTGCTGCCACTGGCAAAGAATTCTACTGTGCTGTTGGAGGAAACAAAATGAATTACAAATTAAAGTAACTTCAAAATCATTGCCCAACTTAAATTATTACTTGGCCCCTCTGATAACCACTTTTAAATCGCGGAGACATAGTTAGTTGCGTCTACATAAGCTTTTTGTATAGTTGGGGCATTGTTTTTATGTAGTTACAATACATGAAAAAAAAAGTTGCGAAAAATAACCGGCCCTTAGTTCCTGTTACCTAATAGCTGGATGACTTTGGGCTCTCTAGGGTTCAGCTTCCTAGTAAGTGCAATAGACCAATGAATTCCTGATTCAGTCAGTTCACAAGTTTGTTGGGCCCATGGAAAAAAATAGCGTATGTGAACACAGAAGGCACTGAACGAACGAGTTGTTATCATTTAAGACTGTAATTTAAGGCTGTTGAATCACAAACGTCCATTTATCCCAATATTATTGCTTTAAAGACTACGAAAAGAGTTACGAAATGAAAGAAGAAAAAACTCGCCCCACGTGAACAGCTCGATCAATCCGCCAGACTCGGCGCTGGGTTAGCTGTTCAAACTACAACTCCCGGCAGGCTTTGTTCCCTAACTGCGTCACGTAACCTCCGCTCCGGTCGGGCCCCTGCTCTCCCGTCCCCCGCCCCCGCCCAGAAACTACAACTCCCAGGAGGCTTCACGGGTCCCAACCGTCCGTTTTCCCCTAACCCCCCACCCCCCCGCCCCGACCTCGGCCTCCCCTTTACCTCCGCCTGCAGCTCTGTGGCCGACTCGGGTCCCGCGGGCAGCGGAGCGGGCGCGCGCGCTGGGGGTCGCGCGGCTGCTGAGAAGTGCGAGCGCGCGCGGGGAGGGAGTGGAGGCGTAGGGGGGCGGGGGTACGACTTGCTCGCTCGCAAGATGGCGGACGAGGACGGGGAAGGGATTCACCCCTCGGCCCCTCACAGGAACGGAGGTGGCGGCGGCGGCGGTGGGGGCTCCGGGCTCCACTGCGCGGGGAACGGCGGCGGGGGAGGCGGCGGCCCGCGGGTCGTGCGCATCGTCAAGTCCGAGTCCGGCTACGGCTTCAACGTGCGGGGCCAAGTGAGCGAGGGCGGGCAACTGCGGAGCATCAACGGGGAGCTGTACGCGCCGCTGCAGCATGTGAGCGCCGTGCTGCCCGGGGGGGCGGCCGACCGGGCCGGGGTGCGCAAGGGGGACCGCATCCTGGAGGTGTGAGTATCTGGGCTGCCCGCCGCCCCACCCCTCCCCGCCCCGCCCGCTCCGCGGGTCCCTACATCTCCCTCCACTCCTGCCGCCCACAGGCCGCATCGCCCCCCCCCCCCCCCC